CATGCAGCCAGGGCAAACAAGCCGACGAAGCTTCCCGCAAACATCACGTGTGGGCTGCTGGTGGCGGGGGCGTGGCAAACGGCATATTTTTAGACTCAACTCCGGCCACAAATCTGCCGCAGAGCGGAAGGATGAAGGATAAAGTGGGCGGGCTTGGTCTTCATTTATCTTGTCTGTTTTCATTGCCTACTTTCGGCTGAAACTGGAAGCCAATGTAAAAGCAGCTCTAAGCATTAAGATTAACGGAAGTCTAGGGGGTTCCAAAACTCCTTATCCTGGTAGGCCTTTTGTTAAAAGGAACATGTTTCGCATGCTTTAAAATTAAACAAAAATTGTTAAAGAATTCAAACATTAACTATGAAAATCCTGGTTATAACGAAAGATGGTAAAACCGTTAAAAAGACTGTTTCTGACGATCCGGTTAGCGAGTGCAAGGATCCGAACGCCGACACCAGTAGTTCACCATGCGAAAACAACTCGAAAGATTCCGACAATAAGAAGCTACCCAAATCCAAGCCAGCTGATCAAAGGCCACAAGGCCACAACAACTAACCTTTGAAGAATTAGCTTAAACCAATTTAAATTTCACATTCGGTAAAGCAAAATTAAAGGAAAAGGAGAAGGAGAAGGTTCTTGGTCATTTCACAGTCCAAATCATATCAGCCGTTTTGTTTATATGCCGTTTTTTTGTTTGCCAAATAAATAATATCAGAAATATCACAATAATAAAAAAAAATTGTAATACAATTTTTTGCAATTACTTTTGGGGAGATTATCCCTTATGTTATATAAAAATTAGAAATCTAAGCTAAATACTAAATACTAATTCCTTAACCTAAGCTGCAATTTCTTTCATAGCTTCTCATCGTATAGATTTCTTTGATAAATGAATGATACTGCACATTTATGAAGTCTCAGCCCTCAATCCCTTAAGCAGCTAAGGTATAATTGTTGCAATTTATTAAGAGTATTTCTTAAACGCCATATCAAGTGTCCCAGTGGGTGAGGGCGTGTGGAACTCCCATTACTAATCTGGGCGATTCCTCACGTATGCCGTAATCTGCAAGGCATCAAGCCAAGGACTTTAGCACTTAAGACGAATTCAAACAAAAACACACACGCATCTAGTCAGACGTAATCACTGGGGCCCACGTGCTAGGCAAATTAATTTGGATTCCGTCGGTGAATTTGCCCCAAAACGGAAAAACATAGAGTGCGGGAAAACCTCAAAAATATCTCTGCCACCCAAACAATACACCGAAATGAAGAGGGTTTTTTTTTCTGGGGACGGGACGAACGTTGACAGCACAAATTTAACGCTTGAAATGCCAAACACACAAACATTTTGACATTCAAAGCACAGATCCTAATACGCATGAATATGTACAGTGTACACAGTTGTGTGTTGTCCTTGCTCGGTTCTCGGTTCTCTCGGCGTGGCAAATTTTCCATGAAAATTGCATGAATTGCAGATTTTTGTTGCCCTTTCCTTTTTACCATACGCACGAAATGCGCTCCGACCGGAGTGCCGGGGGTTGTGGCCCAACTTACACCCGGAGTCAAGTTGCGTGTGCCGTAGACATTTTTATGGCATGCAGCGAACTGCCAGATGGCAGCTGCCGCTTGGCACTTGCCGCAAAATAGGGAAAATGCTTTACAATATAATAGAATTTGCCAGAAACGTGACTTTAACAAGCTTTTGGACATGTAAATACATAAACATTACACACATATGCACTGGCTGTCAAACACCAGCCAACAGGAATGACTTAATATACTGCAAAGCTGATATGTGGACAATGTGGCGTATGCGTGATATGCCAAGGAAAGGATGGAGAGTAAGAGACGAAGAATGAGCAGCAATGCAGGAGTGCAGAAATGCATAAATGCGACCACAGCTCAATTAGTTTTTCGTTTTTAGAGGGCGAGCATGCAGGGCGTATGATTAATGTGGTTTCCATTCAAATGGCACTGCCCGAAAGTATGCTACAATGGAGTGCCCGACACTTGTGGCACTCCATGCAGCAGCATCAAGATAACGAGCTATTTTCTTTGCTTTTCCCTGCCTTCTGGAATGCAGCCAACTTGAAAAGCCTTTATTCAACAGATACAAATACTTTGCCAACAAATTGCGGCATTCCCGGAATCACAGATCACAAATGCAGATACCAAACTAAATTGCCTTTCATTCCAATTACTTTGCTGGGCCAGGTAATCCGGCTAATTGCCCACCCACATATCATACAACTAATGCGGCAAGTGCCAACATCTCGATGCAAAAGTTGCAGCTTAAATTCAATTACGATAGTTCGGTCCAGTACACCTAGAGAAAAAACCCATGGTAAAATTAAACATTAAATTATTTGATTGTAACATTATTTTGCAAAATATAAACTTACTGAAAATAAACTAAAAAAAAGTTTTGAATAAAGTTAAATTAAAATAAAACATGATAATGTAATTATAAACATATTGAATCCAACTACCATTTTCTTATTCGATATATAATTTTTTAATTTATGACTAAATATTTCCATACCTACAAATAAAAATTAGTTAGTTTAAAAAAAAATATTTAATTCAAATTGAAAATATTTAAAATTAACCATGATTTTTCGCTGAGTGTAGTTGCTGGAATTTTCATTAAGTAAACACACAGGTTAGAGATTAAAATCACGAGCTGGGTAGGAATCACACTGACGCACTTCACACCCGCAGAACGGCACCCAAAGGAGGCATTTTAAGCACACGAATTTAAATCATCAATTTTTCATCTCACTCGACTGCATAAATCAAGCTGGCTGTCTACCTGCCACGTGGCATATGCCGCTGAAACAAGTGCCAGCTTGTAACGGCCACGTTAACCTGCCTCATTGTCTGCGCGACATTTGTTGTCCTTTTGTGTTTAATGTCCAACAGTCGAAGGCAGTAAAATTTAATGCCAGCTCCTCCTGTTTTCCACTACCAACTCCAGCCACCAAAAAGACAATTGCGTGACGCGGAGCATTATGGCCACGGCCTGGAGTTGACTTTTGGCCAAGACAACGGCGGTTGGCTTGTCACTGCTATTTGCTTAGACGCGATTTATGCCCTGCTAACGCTTGATAAATGACTGGGAAAATTAGTAAGTGGCTTTTACTTTTTGTCAACGCGACTACGAATCCGAAATGCTCGTTGGCCATAAATTCACAGTTCGCTGCTGTTGCCGCTGCTGCTGCTGCTGCTCTGTCATCTTCTCCGCTGCCCTGTGGCTCATTAAAATGCCAAATTAGTCCGGCAAATTAGTAAAATTCTAGATGATAATTCCTGTAATTGTAAGTGCTGGTGAGGTGAATTCAACCCGGCAAACAGACCGAAATTAAATGGAGTGACCAACTGGAATGGCTAATTAAATAAGAAACAGTAGAGCGAAGCAGAGGAAAAGATCTAAAAATGCTAAATAAATGAATCACAAAAAAAGAGCAACAATTAAAATGACAAATGACCCTCTACACTCACAGAACTCATTAGCTTTTATTAATCGAATTAACTGCATATGCAGCATGGCGAAACATTGTTGCTAAGTCTTTTATCCCAACAATTACCGACTGTTCACATTGACCAATAAATAAGTCACAGAATAACACATGCCAAGCAGATAATCGGAGGGAAATTCATCCATAAACAGACAGATTAAACCCGTCAACGTCACCGTATATGCATGTGCGTGCATTAAAAATTAATTACATTTTAAATGGCAAAAGGATTTAATTTTTGTCGGCCATCTCCTCTACCTATCTCCTAATTGAAAAGTAAAATAAATGTCATTACTGTAATGCATTTGGGATGGAATGTGATTTAGAGCACTTGGCCCGGCATCGTTGAGATTTTAATTGAATTGTTGGGATCAATACGCCCACGCAGCAAAGTTACTCACATGGAAATGCTGTAAATTTGTTGCGGTCAATTTTGCGTGTTAAGGCCAGTAAAAACCGAAAATCGTTTGCCACTTCCCATCTTTTTTGTTTTCCACAAATTTCCTCACACACCTCCCTCTATTTCGCTCTAAAATTGAGAGCCGCAGTCGGTAAACGAACCGCAGCAGCCAAGTGTCGAAAATTTGCATCCAATTAAAATGTTTGCTCCAACAAACTGCGGCCGACATGAGCTTTTACTTTCATGACCAATATGCAGCGTGGCGTTCGTTTGGTTGCCAATGCCACCGACCAAAAACTGCAATTAGGTAGTTAGTGCGTGTCGTAATAATAAATCTATATTGATTTCTTATCAAGCTTGGGTCTTTCCCATGGGTTTTTTTGTTTTCTTTCTTTTTAAGTATAGTTTTTCGGAAATGTTCTCAGAACATTTAATTCTCGGAAAGTTAGCAATCGGCAGACAAACGGTTATCGTTTGTTAATCTACCCAAAAATATCATAAAACCTTTATTATTGAGTTTTTGAGCTAAAAATAGAATTCTATTCCGGGGAAAATAGATTACAATATAATCAAACACCTGCCAAAAAGGGCAAGTGGTATCAAAACATGTACTAAGGTCAAATTTCTATAACGCAAGCATTGAAAAAAATCAAGATTTAATATTCTTACAATTTGTATTCTTATTTTTATGTAACCATGTTCAGATAAATCTAGCTTAGACAATTATAATCAAAAGAAAAGATGAAAATATTAAAAATTTTAATTTTAGAAGAGGTATTGACACCAAATAATAAGACCAAAAACAATTTTACAACTTAGCAATTTTTCAAAGAAATTAAGCATACAAATTCTTAGGTAACAACTGTCAAATTGTAATGGAAGACAAACATAATTCTGAGGACATTTTAATATTTACTTATTAAATAATAACAGCTTAAATAACAGTCATTATGTCACTGACTGACCCTTAAGCCAACCTACTAAGCACGTTCACATGGCTTACCAGTAAGAAAAACATAAACACACATAAGTGCGACGCGTTGGTTAGCCGATGATAATAACTTAATTTTCATATTTTCACTTACCTTGGGTTATGTCAAGTCTAATGGCCAGCTCCCCGAAACACCTCGAGACACGTTTTTTTGTTTTGTTCGTAGTTTGTTTTCGTTTTCGAGTTATTTCTTTCTTTGTTTTTATTTCGACTACGCTCGCTTTAGATGCCGCTGGGCAAAAAGAGCTGCTCAGTGAGCTTTTGGCGTTCGCGGTGAGCGGATCGCTTGGATACTTCAACGGAAATCAATTGTTTACCAACGCAAGTGACTGCAAAATAGATAGAAAATCAAATATTAATAAATAAAAGTAAGCTCGTGGCCGCGACTGTGATCAATCAAAGGGAAATAAAGCCTAAGATGCTAAAGATTTCCAGACACCTGGCCACAAATTCCTAAAAAAAATAGATAAAACCAGCAGAAAGTGGAGCGAAAGTAATAAAATAAAATCCAGTTTTTTGTGTGTGAACTTAAGCAACCCCACAGATAAACCAAAACCTATCTTAAATGTGGCATATCGCGTGTTCCACCTACAAACCATAAAATATATGATCAAGCCATAAACTTAGCATCCATAAAACTATTGGCATAGTTACCTCCATTTTCCCATTTGAATACCCGGTAAAAACAAAAAAAATATTGATGTGCAAATGAAGGTTTTTCCATTTACCGGTCATTTCGGTTCGTTGCGAAACCTTCACGATATCTTTATTGAGATATATCTTTATTATCAAATTGCATATCTGCAAACTTTAAGATAAAAGAGGAAGTGAGCCAAAATGATACTTTGGCGGGAGAGAATCTGAGTGCCATAGCCTAATTACACTTTCAAATTGTATCAGTCAGTCACACTTTTTTATGCAATAAATTAAAACCACAACGAAACAGTCAAAGCGCTTAGACAAAGAGCTTTCAGCGCCAGGAAAGCGCCTCGAGTGCAATTAAATAATTGACTCTTGCCAATATAAAATAATAAAAATTCATTTAGAACGTGTGGCGGTTGCAGGCTTTATCGCACCACCAAAACCTCGAACAAGAGGCAATGTGTTGTGCTGCCATTAAGTTTTGTTTTGTTTTGTTTTCTTTTTATTTGTTTTGTTTAGGCCAAGTTGGCGGGTAATTGCATTGTGTGCCTTTACTTTCCATTTTTGCCACGAGAACAATCGGGCAAGCAGCTGCTCATGCGCAACTCAAAAAGCACTGTGGCACGATCTAGAGATCTAGAGACATCCAAAAAGTAAACAAACCTGGCTGTCTACTTAAAAAAGTTGATGGGTAAATACTCTAACTAGAGAGAAGGTGGGTTGTTAAGCAAATTGATGACTCAGGCAAAAATTTTGGGTATTCCGGATGGCTTTTATATCTAGAATTCTTTCCCAATAACTTATCTGATTCATTAGTTAGTTAATCTTCGCTTATGTGTATTCCTGTGACTCACAGAATATCCATATCGATCACTAAAAATACTGCCTGTAACAGCTTGTTAACCTGTTTTTTGAGTGTTTAACAAGGCCAATGTCTTGGTTTGTCAACTGGTTTTGAATCAGGAAGAGAATAGTGCGTATTACTTGCACTTTCAAAATTGCTCATCTGAAAACAGTGAATTAATTAGTGCTATTTGGAGAAATGCTCTATTAGAAATGCAATTTCTGCATATATTTGCAAGACAATTGGGGGAAAAATTCATGAGAAAGTTTCAAGTTTTATTTGCCAGCATCCAGAGTGGATAATAAATCAATCCGAAATTCGAGATATCAGGAAAGTTTGCCGCCTTGCAACGGAAACAAATGGTTGGGCGGCATACCCGAGGTGTTGTTATGAATGGCCTGCGGCAATAAGCTAAAAGCAAAAAACTTAAGCCAGACGCTTGGAGACCTTTCCCTGAAAAGGCCAGGAAACTGGTTTGGCAGCCAAAGTGCCAGCGATTTTAGCCAGGCTCTGGCTGCATTTACCAGTTTGATGCAGTATTGGCTGCATCAAGGCGGCAGCGCCACCTCTCCATTGTTATGTAATGCGTAATCGTCTAAGTCAGTGGGTCAGTGACTTGCCAGCTTGTCTTTTTGGTCTTTTGTCTTGTCAGTGTCCAACTGAACCGGTAAGCGATCGTAAATTGCTCTCCATCAATGGCCATAATTGGGGCCTCAAAACTTGACCACTATTCGATGTGTAACCTTAAGTTTGCAGCGCGTTAAGTTGAAGGTTAGTGTAACCACATTTCTGATTGATTTGCAGCTGCAGCATGGAAACCACAAACAACAACAATGACAATGGATACATGAACCCGGCGTTTGTGGGTTCACTGAACGCCTCAACCATATCGATACCAGGGGCCTACAAGCCCAATGATCCGGCGAATGGCAAGAAGCCCACTCCGGCTGGCTCTGCGGGATCAGAAGCTGCGCCAGGACCTGCAGATGACCAGCCGGCAGTGGAGGCGGGTCAGCAGGGCAAGCAGCGCGCCAGCTGGAACAACGACATCGAGTTCCTCATGTCCTGCATCGCCCTGAGTGTCGGCCTGGGCAACGTCTGGCGCTTCCCCTTCACAGCGCTGGAGAACGGCGGCGGCGCCTTCGTGATCCCCTACCTCATCGTCCTGGTTCTGGTGGGCAAGCCCGTGTACTACCTGGAAATGCTGCTCGGCCAGTTCTCCAGTCGCGGCAGTGTGAAGGTCTACGACTTCTCGCCCATCATGAGAGGTGAGTGACTAAATGGAACTGCGGGGGAATTGGTAATTTCTTTGAAAAGAAAACTAGCCCAGGATTTTATTAGTAACAGATCGTTCTATTTCTTACATCGTACGTTTTTTTTAAACTAAATTATGTTTAGCTACGAATGTCATTCGATAGGAAGTATTATAGCAAGTTCAATGATGTTTGACATTCAAAACTTGGCCAAAATGAGCCGCAAGGCAATAAGTCTGCCTGTTTTGTGCAATTGGCGACATAAACTATACATTTCCGGTTGATTTTGAAAAATTAGTTTTTTGAGAGAATTATGCCCTAAATGCCTTAGTAATATGTGCTAAGACATACATTCTAAGTTAGAGGTCACTTTGTTTTTCGGTTAAGCCTTAAGTAATCTAACTGGCCTGGAAATCAATAGTTCAAGGCTTCCAAAGATTCTCCCATTTCAAGGTGATAATCCCGAAACAGTGCAATAAATCAAGGGATAACCCCTATCTCCCCTCCTCCACACAGGCATTGGCTATGGCCAGGTGCTGGCCACTGGCATCGTGACCACCTACTACGCCACGCTAATGGCCCTGACGCTCCGCTACTTCGTGGACTCCTTCTACCCGACCCTGCCGTGGAGCTACTGCCGAGCGGAGTGGGGTCCTGACTGCCTGGACTCGGGTCCGCAGGAGGCCAGTGGCACTAGTGCCATCCTCGAGAGCACGGGAGTGCGCAAAACCTCGGCGGAGTTCTACTTCATGTGAGTGGGTGGCCAACTGGTGTCCAGGGAGTGGCATTCATGTCTTCCATTGGTATCGCTATTCCCCCACAGCAACATCGTTCTGCGCGAGAAGGCGAGCATCGATGACGGCATCGGGTATCCCAGCTGGAGTCTGGCCCTGGCTTTGGCCGTGGCCTGGGTCATCATAGCCGGGATCATGTTCAAGGGGGTGAAGAGTTCCGGCAAGGCCTCCTACTTCCTGGCCCTCTTCCCGTACGTGGTGATGTTCGTGCTGCTGGTCAGAGCACTTAGCCTGCCGGGCGCCTTCGACGGGGTGCTCTACTTCCTGCGTCCGCAGTGGCACAAGCTCCTGGAGCCGCAGGTGTGGTATGCGGCCGTCACCCAGGTGTTCTTCTCGCTGGCCATCTGCTTCGGCAACATCATTATGTACGCATCCTACAACCGCTTCGGCCACAACATTTACAGGTGAGTGGAGATGACAGCAGTCCATAGTTATTTATTGAGAGATATTAGTCGGCAAGTAGAAAAATCTTATGATTTTAGCTAAGACTTTTGATCAGAAAAGAAAGCTTTTATTGACTGAATAAAAGGTTCAAAAAGCTGAAAAATGTTTGAAAACAATCCAGAAAAATCTGCAATATTTTTGAAAAAAATTATATAAAATTCAAATAACGTAATTTTATTATATGAAATTATTTATTTTTTTAAAGAAATTCATTATCTCAAGTTTTTCAGGATTTTCCTTAATGTTTTTTAGCCTTTTGCTATACTTTTTCGGCATTTCGGAAATATAATTGTTTTTTGAGCACAATCTTCTGCTTTTTGGGAGTATCAAGTTAGTTCTTAGTTATGTACCCCATTTTGCTGCTCCGCAGGGATGCCAACATCGTGACCACGCTGGACACCTTCACCTCGCTGCTGTCCGGCGTGATTATCTTCGGGATTCTGGGCAACCTGGCGCACGAGAACAACACCAGCGACATCGCCAGCGTGGTGAAGGGCGGTCCGGGGCTGGCCTTCATCTCGTACCCCGACGCCATTGCCAAGTTCAAGTTCCTGCCGCAGCTCTTCTCCGTGCTCTTCTTCCTCATGCTCTTCGTGCTGGGCATCGGCAGCAACGTGGGCATGGCCTCCTGCCTGTCCACGGTGATCAAGGACCAGTTCGGGCACCTGCGCAACTGGACGATAGTGGTGGGCATAGCCGTGGTGGGCTACCTGCTGGGCCTGCTCTACCTCACGCCGGGCGGACAGTTCGTGCTCAACCTGCTGGACTACTTCGGGGTGACCTTCGTGGCCCTGGTGCTGGCCATCTTCGAGCTGGTGGCCATCGCCTGGGTGTACGGCGTAAAGCGGCTCTGCCGCGATGTCGAGTTCATGATTGGCATCAAGACGTCGCTGTACTACCGCATCTGCTGGGCGGTGGTCACGCCGCTGCTAATGCTCACCATCCTCGTCTACACGCTGGTGCTGTATGAGCCGCTCAAGTACAATGACTACACCTACCAATCCGGAGTGTACGGTAAGCTGGCAGGATTAGCTATGCCACCCGAATATCCGTCCTTAATTGAATTCCACCCCTTTTTTCTATGACAGTTTTTGGCTGGTGCCTGACTGCCTTCGGCGTGGGGCAGGTGCTCTTCTGGGCCATTCCCGCTGTGCGGCAACAGCCCGCGCACTTGGGATTCTGGGCCCGCGTGCGCAAGGCCTTTGAGCCACTGCCCAGCTGGGGACC